GGGGGTGATTTTAATGGAAGGAGTGTTATTATTATTATTATTATTATTATTATTATTATTATTATTATTATTATTATTATTATTATTATTGTTGTTGTTGTTGTTGTTGTTGTTGTTGTTGTTGTTATTATTAGTTATTATTAGTTATTATTAGTTATTATTAGTTATTAGCTATTAGTTATTTATGATTTCTAATGGATTTCATGGGTCCCAGCTCAAACCCCTCGTCATCCAGGTGGGGATGATTTTAATGGAAGGAGTGTTATTTTATTAGTATTGCTATTATTGTTATTAGTTATTGGTTATTAGTTATTAGTTATTTATGGTTTTTAATGGATTTCATGGGCCCCAGCTCAAACCCCTCATCATCCAGGTAGGAAATACTGGGATTCATTATTGTCATTTATTTATTGTTTTTAATGGATTAATTTTAATGGATTTCATGGGCCCCAGCCCAGCTCAAACCCCTCGTCATCCAGGTGGGGATTTTAATGGAAGGAGTGTTATTTTATTAGTATTGTTATTATTGTTATTATTGTTATTATTGTTATTACTGTTATTAGTTATTTATGGTTTTTAATGGATTTCATGGGCCCCAGCCCAGCTCAAACCCCTCATCATCCAGATGGGGAATACTGATCAATGCCTTTAGTGGATGGGATTTCATTATTGTTATTAATTGTTTAAAAATACATATAAATATAATGTCTAATATGTGGAATATACAATGCCTAATATATATAAAATATATAGTGCCTAATATATATAATATATACAATGCCTAGTATATATAATATTTTATATATAATGCCTAATGTATATAATATACAATGCATAATATGTATAATATACAATGTCTAATATATATAATATAGAATGCCCAATATATAATGCCTAATAGATATAATATATAATGGCTGATTACTGTTATTTAATTATTTATTATTTATAAGTATGCTATTTTTTTCCCTTACAATCCCGGATTATTTTAATTTCTGCTCTTACAATGCCGGATTTATTTTCCCTCTCATTTGGACCCTTTCAATGCCAGATTTATTTCTTTCCTCTCCATTTTCCCCTTACAATTCCATATTTATTTTCCCCTCTCATTTTCCCCTTACAATTCCATATTTATTTTCCCCTCTCATTTTCCCCTTACAATTCCATATTTATTTCCCCTCTCATTTTCCCCTTAAAATTCTGGATGTACTTTTCCCCTCTTATTCTCCCCTTACAATTCCATATTTACTTTTCCCTCTGATTTGGACCCTTACAATTCTGGATATATTTTTCCCTCTCATTTTCCCCTTACCATTCCATATTTCCTTTTCCCCTCTCATTTTTCCCCTTACAATTCCCTATTTTTCCCCACTCTCATTTTCCCCTTACAATTCCCTATTTATTTCCCCTCTCATTTTCCCCTTACAATTCCCTATTTATTTCCCCTCTCATTTTCCCCTTACCATTCTGTATGTACTTTCCCCTCTCATTCTCCCCTTACAATTCCATGTTTATTCTCCCTCTCATTTCCCCCTTACAATTCCCTATTTATTTCCCCTCTCATTTCCCCCTTACAATTCCATATTTATTTCCCCTCTCATTTCCCCTTACAATTCCCTATTTATTTCCCCTCTCATTTCCCCTTACAATTAATTCCCTATTTATTTCCCCTCCCATTTCCCCCTTACAATTCCATATTTATTTCCCCTCTCATTCTCCCCTTACAATTCCCTATTTTTTCCCCACTCTCATTTCCCCCTTACAATTCCATATTTATTTTCCCTCTCATTCTCCCCTTACAATTCCCTATTTATTTCCCCTCCCATTTCCCCCTTACAATTCCATATTTATTCTCCCTCTCATTTCCCCCTTACAATTCCCTATTTATTTCCCCTCTCATTTCCCCCTTACAATTCTGGATATATTTTTCCCTCTCATTTCCCCTTACAATTCCCTATTTATTTCCCCTCCCATTTCCCCCTTACAATTCCCTATTTATTTCCCCTCCCATTTCCCCCTTACAATTCCATATTTATTCCCCCTCTCATTTCCCCTTACAATTCCCTATTTATTCCCCCTCTCATTTCCCCCTTACAATTCCCTATTTATTTCCCCTCTCATTTTCCCCCTACAAATTCTGGATATATTTTCCCCTCTCATTTCCCCCCTTACAATTCCATATTTATTCCCCCTCTCATTTCCCCTTACAATTCCCTATTTATTCCCCCTCTCATTTCCCCCTTACAATTCTGCACGTACTTTCCCCTGTCCCTTGACCGGCATCATTTTAATCTCCGCCCTTACAATTCCATTCCCCCTCTCATCTCCCCCTTTCACCACCCCATTAACGTCCCCTCCCTTTGTGTGTGTTTTTTTCCCCCGTTTCCCCCAGGCCATGCCGACGTTGATCGAGCTGATGAAGGATCCCAGCGTGGTGGTCAGGGACACCACGGCCTGGACCGTGGGCAGGATCTGTGAGATGCTGCCCGAGGCTGCCATCAACGACATCTACCTGGCCCCGCTGCTGCAGTGCCTCATGGAGGGGCTCAGCGCCGAGCCCAGGGTGGCCACCAACGTCTGCTGGGTGAGGAGCCACCAAAAAATTCACCCCCAGGACTCAAAATCCGTTCCAGGAGGGGTTTTTGGGGTTTTTTTTTTTTTGCCCCGTGAGGGTTGGTCACGTTGTTGGGGGTTTTTGTAGCGAGGGATTTTTCGTCGTGTGGGGTTTGGGTTGTTCTTTGGGGTTTGTTGGTGGTGTCTGAGAAAAATCTTCGCTCCGGTTTTTCGTTCAAGTCTCCCAATTTTTTTCCTCGAATCTCGCTCAATTTTCCCTTCAATCTCCCCCATTTTCCGTCATATCTTCCCCATTTTTCCTTCACATCTGCCCATTTTTCCCTTGAGTCTCCCTCAATTTTCCCTTCAATCTCCTCCGTTTTCCTCCAAATCTCCCCCATTTTTTCTTCAAATCTCCC